CACTATAAGGCATTAGAGTATACTAAACTTTACACATAAATTACTCTTAAATTTCTGAAATCTGTCAATTTGATCTTTAAAATCAGATACATTGTTCAATCCCAAAACTGACTAAAAACACCAAACAATTTTACCTGTGAATAAAATATTTGATAATATTTTTAAGATCTTTCTGCTTTTTAAATGATAACTATATGTGGTAAAATTACTGTAATAAGTTTGGAGTATCATACACTCTTCCAACAAGAGTGTATCTTGCACAATTCTTTCAATATAAGGAACAGAATAGGAGGTAAATAACCATGGACGAGAAGGCATCCCTGAAGTGAGAGAAAGGAAGGTGTTCAACAAGGTGCCCTAAAAAGTTCAAAAGTGGAAACAGATAAACCCTCAACAAACAACCAGGTGAAGAACTGGGACAGGAGAGGAACAGAAGGATGGGATGGCCGGAAGCCATGGCCAATAGACCAAAGTCTAAAGTAAGGCCAATGCCTCTGGGTACACAGACAACAAGGAAGGAGCAAATAGTACAGGCAAGAAAAGAAGCAACATGAAGGGGAAACCTCAGGGTTGAGGCACAGGAACAGACAAAAGTCACACATGAAACTCAAGTGTGGTGATGTTGGGATGAAAACTGTACAATCATGGTTGCTGGAGGAGCAATTAGGACAGGAGATTTAACTCCAGTAAGGGCTTGAGCAGAGGGAACCACATCTAAGCCAGCCAAAATGTAGCAACCAGCAGAAAACAACAAAGAGTGATTTGGATAAAGGAAAAGACCCAGGAGAGGAGTCTGATTGGAGAGTAAGCATAGGAGTGAGGAACCCTCCAATCTCGACTGAAAGTATCCACCCCCAAAGCTGGAGGGTGAGGAACTGAACACCATAAAAGAAGTTTGGCATTAAAGTGAGAAGGAAATGTATGTATATGCAGAGATCCTAGTTGAGAATACACCCACAGAAAAACCTGAGAATGAAGGAACCACTCCATGAAGAGAACCTGGTTGGGATGTGATAAGCAATTGGGTACTAAATTTATAATTCTGGGAACATGACATGCCAGAACAGTTATATCATGGTCTAGTACAAGAGATCCAGACTCTGAAAACACAGAGATCTGGACTTGGTTCCCCTTTGCATGGTAATATAGCTGAGGACAGGGGAATTGTCAGAATGAACCATAACCATCCACCCCTGCAAGAATGGGAGGAAATGATACAGATCCCAATGAACTGTGAAAGGTTTCAGGATATGGAAATGGAGAGTAGTCTCTTAGACTTACTACTGACCCAAGGAAAGTCCTCCAAGCCCACCAAGGAAGTATCTGAGATTCAAGATGAGGCAGAAGAATGAGAACCCTCATTGTGGCCACCAAGGAAAGTAGGCAAGGTCTGAAGGGAAATGGGATGGTCCAAGGGATCTCGGGGAAATTTCCACCAGTTGAAAAGCATCCAATTATAGGAATTTTGCTGGGTCTTCAGACTCACTATTATATGAATGACTTGCTTCTGCTTGCCACTTCCCCTGCCCAATCAGTCATTCACACCTGCTTTCTTCTTCAAGCACATGATTAGGTGGGGGTTTCTCATCAAGTTTGAGAAGTCCTTTACTGCCGCCCTCACTATATCTCATTTATTTGTGGGTTTTCTTCACTTCCCCGCTTGGTCAAGCCCAGTCTTCTCCATTTCAGCTCTGGGATATGAAGCGGGTAGTCATGAAGGCTCTACCCTCTCCTTCTCTCTCTGCACAAGAGGTCTTTCTTTTTTGGGGGTTTTGTGCTTCCTTAGAAGCTCGTATTTCTTTAGGTTGGGTGCACATATCCGAAGATCACATGCAAAAGAGCATACCACTTGACAAAACACATACAGAGCTGAAGAAAGACCAAACGACAGTGCCCAGAACTGGAAGATAGACGCCTCGTGGAGACGAACCAAAGAAAAACGATGTGATATTGAGCAATAAAACCCACCAAAGTGAGAGGCAGGATTCCACAGTGAAGCAAGGTGTCTCCAGATAATAATACAGCCAGGAAAGAACTATGATGAGACTCCAATCTCTCATGATTTTGGAGACAACAAACAGACAAGAGTAAAATCCCAGTTATGTGGGCATATAGAAAAAGGTGAGACCAGTCCTGGCTAACAGTACTGACTACCAGACTTACGTATGAGAAACTGGGGACCCAAAGAGGGGAAGTCTGGTGTTAACTCTTCCAGCAAGGGCTTGCTCCCTGGGACTGACCTTGTAACCATTTTGTGCTTGTTATAGTTTTCATGCTAT